CCCGAGTTACCCCGGACCCGAGTTACCCCGGATAACTCGGGCGTCCAGAGCCCCGAATCATCAGGGATAACTCGGGTCAGGGCTAACTCGGGTTCCTTTTTCCGGGAATCCAAACCCGAGTTACCCCGGACCCGAATTACCCCGGATAATTCGGGCGCCCAATACACGTAGGAGTGGCCCCTCGCCAGAGTGGCCCTTGGCGCTGGCCCACAGGGGGTCCGGTGATTTGTTCTGTGGGATGAGCTTGACCTCGCGTCGGCAGCAGCATCGCGTGATTGCGTTCGCACGTGAGCGCGTCAGGCTCGGGCCCACCCCTTGCAATCGACAGCAGCGCATACGCGTCGCTCCCTACAGCCTGCAGTGGTTACCCGAGTAGGAGCCAGTCTACCCGACGGCGCGTCTTCCAGCCCAGGACCAGGCCTGAATCCCAGCCACAAACCCAAAACGTTTGGCTGGAATTTGTTTGGATGAAATTGGATACTTTTGAATGTGTTTGAATATGTTTTACGAACGAATGGGGATATTCACTGTTATAAGTGATCCAAATATATTCAAACATATTCCAGGCTTTGGGGTGGGGCCTGTTTTGGCCATGGCGCCGGGACTGGCCAGACATCGCTATGCAGCCTTGCAGTGCCATGCCTCATCGCTGTGGCCCCCGGCAGCGTCTGTTTTCGCAGGGCCTTCGGAGTGCCTTTCGGGGCGCTCGAATGCAATCGGCGGAATTCTGCAGTTGCCCGCTGGCACAGATTTTTTTCGAGTGGCGCCCCACCGATCGTTGATGCGACGCGGCATCGCCGGCTTGCGCGATTGCGTTGGGTCCTCACGGGCGCCCCTGAAGCCGCGCACCAAAGGTCAATTTAGCCTAGGGTCACTCCTACGTGTAGTTGAGAAGAGGTGCGCGAGTTCTTGGATGGGCGGCGGCTTCCTCTACACACGGAGTAAGCAGGAGGGTATTGGACAGTGGCTGGGCCTGTCGACTATGGGTCGCCCCGAGACCCAGATGGTCTCACCCGACAAGATGAGGGGCCTGGATATCTGCGCGGAGGGAGGTTCGACATGTGAAGCGGACTACGCTGGTGGGGCGCTGGGCTATGGGCAATGGCGCGCAGGCCTGCGTTTGCGATCCGCGACGCGCATCACCAGCGGATTATCGGGGTTTGCCGGGGGGGCCAGTCGGAGGATCAACAGGTGATCACCAGCGGGGTCAGGGAGGATATGAGGGTGCTCTCGTCGCTCGGCATCCTTGTCGAATTGAACATGGAGTTGGAGTGGCACGAGACCGGGCACATGACGTACTCGAGCAAACGGGGCATCGCAGTGGCGGCGACAAGCTCCGGCACGTGCGAGATCAGGCGGGAGCTGGCGAAGGGCGCGGGGCATATTTGGCAAACTAGGGTACAAGAGGTGCACGCCGACACCGAAGTCGAGGTGGAGTCGCGGGGGCTGGAAGAGGACGAAGAGGCGGGGCGTCTTGGGGCGCTTGGGCTAAGCCGCGGGGGCATGGTCTCAACGGGGCTGCCGGATCTTTGTGTGACGACCTGAGTGGAGGCCTTGCGCGCGAAGGAGCTGGCCGAGGCGGATGCGGTCGAAATGGCCGCTCAGCCGAGTGAGGTGACGCTGGTGACGGGTCGTGCAAGTGGTTTTGTTGTGGGACTTTTTCCTGCTAAAGTTCTGAGGCTGGAGATCGCTCTGGGGTTCCCAGGGCCTCGGTGAGGGGGCGCTCGGAAGATCGGCAGGGGCATCTGCCGGGCGCAGGTGATCGTCGAGGTGGGGCATTTGGCGATGCGGGAAGGCCAGGGGGTCGCCATGCTGGGGCCTGCCAGGCAGGGTAGCTTGCTGCGGGGTCCAAAGTTTGCGCGGTTCGGACGAGTTTATTCATTGCTACGCCGAGAAGTTGGAGCTGATCGACTACTAGTGGAACGAGGTACAGCGGGGTGCTCAGCTACGCTTGCACGTGCGGCGGCCACGAGTCGAGCGCGCACGAGGGCAGGCGATGCCTATCGGAGCAGGCTGGGCGGGCAGGCCCGGGGGCGGCACTCGGTGTTCCGCGGGCGATTGGGGCGGGGGGGCACGACGACGAGTTGGAGCTCAGGTGCGTTGTCAGTGCGTTGCGCCACTCGGCGCGGTCGTCGCGTTGCCCGCGGGGGCGCCATGGCCGCCTCGGCGGTCTCCATGGCTGTTGCAGATGAGGGGGCCAGCGGCTGCAGCGCAGTGGAAGTTTCGGGTGGCGAGTGGCATTGCGCTTGCCCCAGGCGCGAGGGGCCACTTTCGTCGGGCGCCCAGTGGGCAATGGCAGACGGGCCGAGTCGCGGAGTCGACGTCGGCACGGCGGAGGAGTCGGAGGACGCGCGCCGGATTCGGTTGACGCCTCTGCCGGTCAGACCGCTGCGACGCGCCGTGGAGCGACCTCGCGGCAAATCATGTCGCCAGCGAAGCGGCAGGCCGCGGAAGGAGCGCGACGGCGCGAGCGACCGCCGCCATTGTTGACGCGTGTAGC